ATTTTGGTGGTCGCAAAGGACCATCAGGGGAGCACTAAAACATTGCGCGCACTTTGCGACCTCGGGGGTCAGATCAACTTAATTACTGGACATGCAGTACAACTATTAAGACCTCAGAGAACAGCCACGTTTATGCAAATCAAAAATCTCAACGGAGACATCGTAGCCGCCAAGGGCATCGCATGGATAAATTTAATTTCCCCACATGACGACACAGTCAACGAGTACGTGGGCGCATACATCGTGCCCAAGATGATGAGTAATTTACCGAGCCACGAACTAGATATCAGCAAATGGAGACATCTGAAAGGCATCAAGCTGGCGGATAAAACTTTCCATATTCCCAATAAAGTGGACTTGTTACTTGGTGCCGATTTCTACGGCCGCGTTATCATAAACGGAATTCGAAAGCAGAAAGACGCGCCAACGGACAACATTCGGGTGGATAGTGTTTGGCGGATACGATCATACGTACCAACACGCATCAATCGTCAACACCATCGAAGGCTCGGTCTCGAACGAGCAGCTGCTAGAGATGATCACAAGGTTTTGGCAACAAGATCAACTACCGACCAAGCGGTATCGTACTCAAGAAGAGCAGCTATGTGAAGACATATTCACCAACAGCATAACGACCAATCATGAGGGTCGCTACATCGCGAGAATGCCATTGCAACCAGACGCACCAAAGGTGATCGGCTCATACCGACGCTATGCCTTCTTACGTCAACGCCAACTGGTGCAAGAACAAGTACTAAAAGCACAACGTACGTCAAATTCAAAAGCTTGTATACAAATATATACATGTGTCAATTGCTTATTGAGCGGTTTTCTGTTCTCAAGAAATATTTTGAGTTTATTTTTATTAAAAAGCGCGAATATTTTTTTTTTCAATGCAAGAATTTAATCTTGTTATTTTAAAACGTAAAATCAAACATTTTTCTCGTGTTTTTGCGTGTTTTTGTCAACACAAGAGTTACTTAAGAATTGCGAACAAATGTCAGTTCATTTGTTGACGTTCCACGTTCCGATTGTTTCAATGACAACATGAAGTGACATTTGTAGCAGTTATTCATGTTGATGAAAACACGTGAAAACACAAAAATTTCATTTAATTTTTTATTTTCTAAAATATTAGAATATTGTTTTTTATTGAAACATGTTTTTTTAAGTTTTTCTCTTCAAGTGATTGCTATATTTATACAAACGTGGTATTTCATTTCACTGAATACTATTGGTATACAACGGTTCTATTACATGTTCTTGCACCAGTTGGCGCTTCTGGGCTCATTTATATGAGAACTGTCAAGAAGGCGCAGTGTCGGCTCATACGACATAGCATATGCAAGGCTAATGCAAATGAAACGAAAATTTGCTCGCGATCCAGAACTGAAGGAGAAATACATAAAATTCATGCGCGACTACGAGGAACTGAATCACATGAGTAAAGTGCCACCACAGGAGCATCACAGCGACACAGCAATTTACATACCTCATCATGCAGCAGGCACGGAGAAATTCCGTACCGTATTTGATGGAAGCGCTAGGGCGAAAAACGGAATTTCAATCAACGACATTCAGTTGAACGGAGAAAAGGTTCAACCGGAACTCATCACTACTCTCATGAGATTTCGTACACACAGAATTGCGCTTACCGCTGATGTCGCTAAAATGTATCGGCAGATACTAATCGCCGAGGATCAACGAGACATGCAGTGGATACTATGGCGAGAATCGCCAAGTCAACCGGTTCACGAGTATCGGCTGAACACCCAGACATATGGGAACAAGTCAGCAGCATACGCACCATGACTCATATGGCTGAAGAATTCGCCACAGAATTCCCAGCGGCATCAAAAGCCGTGAAAACATCGTTTTACGTTGACGATGCATTGGGCGGTAGCCACGATATTACATCTGCCATCAATCTACACGGGGAACTGATCGAGATGTTCGGTAAAAGAGAGATGGAGCTAGCTAAATGGAACACCAACGATCCAACAGTGCGTGGGCACATCAAATCAAGCGGCTGCCAACTGATCGAGCTCAACAAAGAAGAAACGACAGCAGTGCTCGGTATGCACTGGGATGCAAGGGAAGACACATTCCAATACATCATCAAAAATCCAATCAGATTGGAAAATCCGACGAAGAGGAGCATTTCGTCCGACATAGCACGACTTTATGATCCATGCGGCTATTTGTCATTTATTTATTTATTTATTCAGGCAAATGTTATACATGAACGCCCCTAAAACTAAATAGTTACATCTCAATAAATAATTAACTTTTTTTCTTATGTTTTGTAGTGACTCTGTTTGTTTTGTAAATATATTTCTGTTTTTTTTTGTTTCTTAATTTGTTACATTGCAAGTTTTTTGACTGCTCTTCCAGTGTAATTTTTTTCAACTGGTTTTTAAATGTCTGTATTTTGTGAAATTTTTTCATTGGCGATGGCAAAGAATTGTATGAATTAGTTCCCCTGTTAATGATAGAATATTTTCCCCAATTATTTTTGGGTTTAATTTTGCGCAGTCTTTTTGATTGTCTTGTTTCATACTCGTGATGCTTGTTGTTAAAATCTAATTTGATATCTGCTTTTAACATTTTATTAATAATTTTGTGGAAATTTATTTTTAATTCAAGATCAATCATATGTTTAAATTTAATAATATGCGTAGTCATGCGTAGTCATATTCGCAAAGGTCGTATTGAAAGATTTGTGGATCGACAAGGTCGAATGGGACGACAAAGTCGAGGGAGAAGTACTGCAGAGATGGGAGCAATTCGCCAGGGAATTACCAAACATCACGAATGTACGCATTCCGAGATGGATCAACACAGATCTTAAGTCCAAAAAGCAACTGCATGCATTCGCCGACGCATCAAAAACCGGATACGGCACCACATTCTACCTCAGACAGCAACGTGATGGCGATCCAGTCACTGTACATTTGGTGTTTGCGAAGGCACGCGTCGCACCGATTAAGGGCAGTACAATTCCGAAGATGGAGCTGACAGCATACCATCTCACGGCACAATTACTGGAAGAAGTGAGAACCGCACATGATGTCGACATAGACAATTGCACTCTTTGGTCCGACTCAATGATAGCACTACATTGGATCGGCAAATCACCTGCCAAATTAGACGTGTTTGTTGGCAACAGAGTCGGAGAAATACAGGAGCTAACGCGCGGGGTTGAATGGAAACATGTGGACACAAAAAGCAATCCAGCCGATCTAGCTTCGCGGGGAATTTCACCAACGGAATTGGCGGATTGCAAATTATGGTGGAATGGACCCAGCTGGTTAACGCTCGACAGAGAGAAATGGCCAGAAAGCAAATTGACACTAACGGAAACCGACATCGAAGCCGTTCGCTGCCACGAGCGGAAATCGACAGCGATGGTAAACGCTCACATCGACGATGATGGACCCATTTCAAACGCGAATGGGAATCTTCTGCACCAATTCAGTGATTGGCCAAGACTACTACGCATCACAGCGTACGTACTTCGATTTACGGTGAAGAAAGCGTTCAGAAAGGAAGGACAATTATCCGACGACGAAATTTTGAACGCCGAGAGAATTTGGGTACGACACAGCCAGAGCGTGCATTTCAACAAAGAAATCGAGAAATTAACCAACAAAGAGGACCTGACACAGGGATCACCATTATCAAAATTGACCCCGTTCATGGATAATGACGGAATTATGCGACTAGCGGGGAGAATCAAGAGATCCAACATTCCATACGACACTGTACATCCCATACTCTTAAATGGGAAATGCACCACAGCAAAATTAATCACCGAACTGGCGCACGAACGAACCTTGCATGGTGGCACGCAGCTCACGCAGCAATACATAAGACAGAAGTATTGGATCCTGGGCGGCCGCTACGCAGTTAAAACAGCCATATCAAAATGTGTGCCATGCATCCGACAGAGGAAAGAGACGCAGCATCAGCTGATGGCACACCTACCAGAGGAAAGAGTGACGCCAGGGCGACCGTTTGAGGCGTCAGCGGTCGATTACGCGGGCCCAGTCAACATCGAGCGATACAACGCCGCTCGGACAAAGATAATTGACAAAGGTTATATTTCGGTTTTCGTTTGCACACGCACCAGAGCGGTACACTTGGAGCTCGTGTCTAGTATGACGACGGAGGCATTCATCGCAGCATTCACGCGATTCTCGTGCCGCCGGGGGAGGATCAAGGTGCTGTTCGCCGACAATTCCACAACTTTCCAGGGAGCGTCAAATGAGCAGCAGCAAATAAACCGGACATTCCAGAGCGATTCGAATGAGGCGCGCCAAATCCACAGCACCTGGAGGGAGTTGGGTTCGCAGAACGGTACCACGACACAGTGGAAATTCATACCACCATCAGCTCCACACATGGGCGGCCTACATGAAGCTGCAGTGAAGAGCGCAAAATCACACCTCAAACGCGTCATAGGCGTTCAACAGCTCACATTCGAGCAATTAGCGACATTGCTAACGCAAGTAGAAGCTTGCCTGAATTCCAGGCCACTGATCGCCTTGAATGACGACGCGGCGGATGAGCTGGCGTTGACACCGGGCCATTTTCTCGTGGGCGAGCCATTAATCGCCCCACTCAGTCGTGATTACACGTCAGTAGCCGCCAACAGGCTGAGAAACTTCGAACTGATGAACAAAATGACCCAGGAATTTTGGGAACGATGGTCGAACGAATACGTGACCACGCTAATGGAGCGCAACAAGTGGCGACATAGCCAACGAAACGTTCAGGTGGACGACATCGTCCTAATCGTCACAGATACGCTACCACCGACACAATGGCCACTGGGGCGAGTGAACAAAACCATTCAGGGAGACGACGGCCACGTCAGAGTAGCAGATGTAACCAGCAGGGGACACGTTTATCGCCGACCAATCGTCAAGCTGTGCCTGCTACCAATTTGCGGCAAAGGAACATCGGGCCAGGCCAGGCAGGATGTTCAGAACTGAACAGATATTTTTAAGCATTTTCATGTTCACATTATTTTTGGTCAAGCAGCCTTTGGCTCTTGACTAGCTCGTGTATAAATAGGCCGAGACATAGCGAAATAGATTAAGTAATGTCATGTAACTTGGACGAACAACATCCATAGAAATAAATAGAAAAAGAAAATAGCTCGAGCGTTTTGGTTTCGTTGCGTGATAATATTCAACAGGTATAAATATTTGGTTGCATATTTACAATATTTATAATATTTTCATTTACTTCTTTAGTTTCTCCAAGTTCCAATTCTTCTAAAATAATCGGTTATTCTCTGTTTGACAGTATCTGTACTAACATTAAAATCAATTAAGTAGGTATCACAAATTGGAATAGTAATAGCATCACATTCATTCGTTTGATTAGGCGGTTTGATAGGAACAAAATATTTGTAAAATTCATTGTATGTCGTTAACATGAAATTGATTGGTTCAAACATTGAATAATTATATATTCTAATCGGAAGTGACAGAAATTCAGTGTTTCGTGTTCGATGTCGTGGTGTTCTAAAATTGATTTTTTCCATGATATACTTTGATGATATTTTGCCACAAATAACGTTGTGAATGAAGCAAATTTGTGCGATTTTTCTTCGTTCCTCCAAAGTGATCATTTGTAGAAATAGTAGACGATTATTTTATTGTGGCAAAACGAATCTGTGTGGCCATTCCATTCTTCTCAGTGCGAACGGTAGAAATTGCTTTTGGACTGATTCAATTCTAGCAATTTTCTCATTGGTGTGTGGGTTCCATATTTGTGATCCGTATTCAATAATAGGTAATACGAATGTGAAGAAGAGTTTCTTTATGGTCCATGGGTCATTAAACTCTCTTCCAAAACGCTTGATCCACGCAAGTCGAGATTAAGCTTTAGCTGTTATGTATTCGATGTGTGCGCTAAAATTTAGTTTACAATAAAGAAAAATATCTTGTGTCACAACTTTTGAATTTAGTCTTCAAGTCAAGCTTTAAAGCGTTTTGCCGTCCAAAAATCGTGACGCGATATTTTTCCTTATTGTAAATAAATTTTCACAATAGTGAATGCGAAAAACACTTTTGAACTTCGTACCCAGAGATAATACAGCGTCAAAGCGTCACTCAAAATGATATCAGTCATTTTGAGTGGTAAATCCACACACAGGAGCGTCACTCCATTTTAACCTCGCCAAGAGGTTTTTCATCTGATATCACTAATTTTGTAAGGCAATTATTCTCGAAAAAAATACACTTTTGCCAGAAATATGACTATTTTAAGGTCCTATGATTGGGAAATTGTAATTTTTCGGGCAAAACATTTGCATCCACATTCCACAAGTTTTGTAAATAGCAAATTTCCACTTTCATTAAAAAAGTCCCATTTGTAGTGGTTTCAGGTGGAATGGAGCGAGTTAGGGCGATAATTCATGATAAAGTGATCGATTTAAAAGACTTCAGTGATTTATTACAGCGTTTTAATGTATTTATTGATTATGATTTGCACAACTGATCGCTTTGACTGCCTAACTACAACTCAACTTAACTTAGCGTGCGTACGATGTATATCGTAAGCTCTTGGTAACAATTAGAGTGTAATTGGACATTGTAAAATGTGATTAAATTTCAAAATATCCATTAAAAGAGTTTTGAAGTAATTTAAGACCCATTAATTCATTGAAACATATTAATTTCCAACCACCAAAGCTCTGGAAAGTGCATTTTTATGTATCCCCCGAACAAAAGTTCAATTTCATACATTCAGATGCAAAAATGCCGATTTATGACCAAAATGACAACGAAATGGATATTCAAGTGTTCGTGGACTCCCATAATTTTCACGAAAAAATAGCAGTTTTCTACCCAATGAGCCAAGTGAAAGAAAATATGTACTAGAGCGTCACACTGATTATGCATAGATTTGAAAGATTGCATATAGGTAGATTATGTAAAAATAGTGTGTAATTTACGTGCATAAGGTGTGCGTAAATCGTCTTTGTTTAAATAGAGGAGAATTTCAAATTATGTGTCAAAATTGTGCTTATATTTGAACATATGTCCAAACTGTGTGCAATATATGTGCATACTGCGTGCATGCTAGATTATGCACATTTTATGTCAAAATTTTAGTTAAATTTTACACAATTTAACAAAAAGCTAACTATATATTTTTTTATTTGTTTTAAAACGTGTAAAAAATAGGCATAATTTGTATACCATGTATAGGCACATTTAAGCACGTAAATGGTTCATTGGGTAAGACCAAAATGTCGTCAGAGGTCTATTTCACGTGTTTTCCGAACAAAAATGTCATTTCCAGTGAAAATAGAGCAAGTTGAAAAATTAACTTCAATCCGACCTATTTTTCGACCATGAAATGGCCTCAGATCGCATTGTGACCACTTTTAATCGATTACTCGTCGAAAATTGAGCGGATATGGTCTTTCGTGACCCTTTTCCAGCTAGTAGATGCGTATTTTTGGCAGCAATTTCATCGTAGAATGCGACTCTTCGTACAAATTCCGTTCATTGATGAATTGCCTATGCCCAGAACTTCGAAATACGAATTTTCCCGGATATGTGGCATATGCCATTTTGTTGGTATGGTAGCCGGCTACAAACGCTCAGTTTTTGGTAAAAGATTGTCGGGCTGATTTTTGAGAAATCGCGTTTGGTGTGAAATTTAAGGGGGTCGATTTTTCATAAAAATCGACTTTTTTCTTTTATATCACATAAACATTGGCATGTGTGTATGGAACTTTTTGAAGGTCTTCTCAAATAATTACGAGCTGAGTTTGCCCGATGGGTGTCTGAGTTGATCTAGTGTGCGAAATAAATACTTGAAAAAATCGTATATATGCAGGCTAGTGAAGCCATAGCCAGCTCTCCTGTAATGCAAATGTCAATCTGAGGACGGGTTTCGATGTGGCCCGACACCAGCTACAGCTTAGGCATATCGGCACCGGAATCTGTGGGGGTCAAAAGAGTTTCCGAACACACGAACGGACGAACGGACGCACATCCAAATCAATACTTTCATAGAAAATCAAGATCAAACTGCCAATGCCCATAACTTTTTCGTTTTTGAACCAATCGAGGCACTTAGACCGGCGTTAGAAAGGTGGCGAGGAGAAGCTTCTTTTGGACACCTCAGATCACCCCCTTCGTAAGATATGGGTAAAGATCTGAAAATTTATCGAAATTTTCCAACCGCTATATTTTTGCCTAGACCACACTTTAGGCATGGGGGATATGGTATTTCCGACTATTTGGGCCAAGAACTTTCCAACGGTACCTAACATGCCGGGGCCCAAATAGTGTCCTGAGAAAATAGCATATTTACTGTATCATACTCGTGACGCAAAAACTGGCATTTTTGATATTTGGCTTGAAATGCACAGTTGTTGGAGCGTCACTTGTCGGACTACCGTCCTCCGTGATAAGTTGTCGCTTCATACCTGCAACGAAATTTGTTTTTGGAAAAGTTATGATTAAGATCAATACATACTATATCAGCCTTTACCAACTGCTATAAGAACCAAAAGTTCGAATGCGGTTACAGATGGTTTAATTTTTCGAATTATAATAATTCGCCACCGAAGGAATGCTAAAAAAACACAATATTGATTATCACCCGATTGGATGACAATAACGTATACGCTAATACTGGTTTTCAATCTGTCTTCGCTATTGAATGCTAATTACGATTGGGTTCGTCACAAAAATTACGCGGAAATGACGCGAGTTCCTAGCACAGGTGCACTTGAACTTGAGATAATACTCTTTTATCGATTGCTATTTCGTTTGCGTCAATATGTTATTTTATGATTGTAAGTCATCATCAGTAAACATGAACATACCGTTGTTGCTGCCTTGAGCGATAGAGTTAAATGTAAAACTACCTAAAAAGAAAGAAGACGCTCAGGTAGTACATAGACATCGAAATTTCGTAAGTTTAACAAACAACCTCATGATGTTGAATTGGCGGACTTGGCAATTCAAGCTCACCAATCCAGTTATCCCCATTTGATTCCCACCTATACTGAAATAAATGTGGACACGGGCTTGATATCGAAAGTTTCTGCTGTTCTGTTACACGAAATAAACCTAACAGAACTAACACTGCAAAATATTTACTATTGAATTGCATTTTTTAATTTTATTTCAAAATGATGTCAATTGTTTATTAAATATTCATCATGATTTACACATTTTTTGTTAAGAACAATAATTTTCCTTTTTTTTCAACACTTCACTACTAACACAACTAGTTGCTGTACGTATCACAGAAAAATGATATTTCCAGAAGCGGTGTCATTACTTAAAGACAGCAAAAACCACAATATACGAAACTTGTAACAATCGTGAAAATACCCTGCAGTTGTTAATGTCTCTTGATCACCAAGGGGAAAGCCATACAGGTAAAAAAGCAAAAAAAAAATAGATAATTATCTTATCAATAATTATAATTGTTTCACATATGTTTTGGATTTGCAAATGAAAAATAATGTAAATATAATGACGCAGTAATAACAAAAAATAATCACATCTTCGAATTTAAAGTGACTATCCCCTGCTTGATTACTCAAATGACGAAGTTCTTTTTGAAATTCACAATTTGCCTCATAATAATCACATACGATGTGCACTATTGTCGACTATTCTGTTTTGTTGTCTTGTCTTGTTTTGCATTGTATTGGTGGAGGTTTAATTAGTATATTTTTATTTATTCCATTTATTTCAATACAGTCAAACTGTGCCATGCCTTTGATTGTATTGGTATTGATTTTTTGATCTTTGGAAAAACAGTCGACTGTTGTGTTTTCACCTCTTATTTATCAGTACTGAGCCAATATACATGAACAATTATTGCCGTCAATAAACTGTAGACATTCACTGATCAAACTTGTTATGCTGGCTTTCATGTGTATTCGATGAGTAACTGGTTATTTTTTCTTTTTTTCTTTCTACACTCTAATGTACAGACGTTGAATTTAAAATGTGACAAATGATGGGAGTGAAGGAAAACTCGGTTACCTATGGTATTACCTACATATAATTTGATATATTTGAAATTGTTAAGTGAAAAATTCCCATTTATATTTACAAGAGTATTAAGTAAGAGCTGTGGCAACGAATTTTCCTGAAAGAACTCGTGTTTTGGCAGTGAATTTAAGTTAGAATCAATTGGAATGTTGCCCTTTAATGCCAAATATAGCAATACTTACTGATAGCGCAGGCGCTTCCTATAGAAAAATTCAGTTGTCACAAAGTTGCCGTAGTGCAATTAAATCATCAATTTCTTGTTCGGTTTCGTAATTAAATTGAATCGAAGAAAAAAAAAACAGATCTTCTGGTGAGACGTAGAAGAACGCCAGTTTATTCAACTTCGAAAAAGAAGGATGTTTCAACTCGGCGCCACATAAATCTACATGGTGAGCTAAAACTCAGAAAATACTGTTTTCTATTGATCTAACTGAGAAATTAATGTCTCTCTATCTTTCGAGAAAAAAATATTTTTCCAAGTTTTACTCGACAATTTTCTGAATTCTTTGGCTTGGCCACTCAACATCAAAATTACAAAGCTCAATCGCGAAAATATTTTGATTATGTTTTGAGATGAGCCACATCTGAAAATTCTGTAACTGGGCTTTCCAAAATGGGTTGAAGGAAATGTGCAAAATCAGTTAACTTGATCACTTGTGAACAAAACACATACGTTCTCCTACATCTCACCAACAGAGAAATCGTGCAATAATATATATCACGAAATTTCAAGATTTAATTTTCGTTCATAAATTGTCTCCACATCATTATTTTCATCTTTATTGTTCAAAATAGAAACTCAATTTTTAACTATTAAATCACATTTACAGATGGTTTGCACTATAAATGTTTTTAAATGTGATTAGAATAAATGAAATATCCGCAATTAAGCGGTGAAGCAGAGTTTACTTACATCATCGATTGATGAATTTAGCAGATAAATCGTATGTGTTGCGTTATTGGACTAGACAGGATCGACTTACTCCATAAATTCCTTTCAACTCAGTCATATTTGCATATAAGCTCAAAACAGAGAGAGCTTATGAAGAACTTCTGAAATATTGATTGAGCTGGAAGTAGATCTTGGGAGCAGATGGATCCGACCTGGTCTATGTGTTCTGTTAAGTCTTCCATCTCATTATTTCTACAGAATTCCTCTAGAATCAGCCTAAAATTTGGAAAATCCGGAAAGAAATATGAATTTTCTGCTGCGGATACATTACAATAACGCAACACATACGATTTATCTAATAAATATCGATGATGAATTCATCTGTAAGTACACTCTGTAATTGATAATGATGACGTCTTGTTTTTGTAGCAATAAATAAATGTTTTTCAAAAAAATCACAAGGAGTTAGAAGACATACAGAAGGGACCAACATTCAGGCAAAATTTGGTTAATTAATCAAATCCGAATTTTCTGTGGTCAATGCAACGCTACGACTTCGCATCGTTGTCGCCAACTGGTGCTACAAACAGAATGTCAAAATCAATGTCGAATTCGTCAACACAAGAGTGAAAAAGCTTCCATTCAGTGTACGTAGTACAGGTTCTAGCACCAGTTGGCGCTTCAGTGCCATTTATGTTCATGTTATATGGGAACTGTCAGAAGAAACCGTAGCGTTGGGTCAATGGTCATGAACATGTGTGGATTTGTTTGGCAAAGTCATTAAAATTTGTACATTTTGTACAAAAATGTGTAACGTTTTAACGTACATATATATTCGAAAATCGCAATTTCTTTGACCATAATAATTGGTTTTAAATAAAAAATTATTCTCAAATTCAAATTGGATCTACAAACTAGTCATTGCGTTATACTACATAATTACATTCTATTTTTAATTGGCTACGAGAGATTCGAAAGATTTCTCTTTGCTCTGCAAGTACCACAAGGTTATCATTATCTCCCTCGTTAAATGTCTATTAAAGCAAATCGTGTGTTGGATTTGTTGCTGGCTAGATACTGGTTATGACTACATTTTATCTAGTATATCCGCTGATAACGCTTGGTTCAAAGGAAGTAACTTCATTGAGTGTTTGCGATAATCGTTTTGTTCGTGGAGGCGGTACTGGTGGGTCGAATGCTGGAGGGGGATAAGTTGGAGAAACGATTGAAACTGGTTTGGATGCGGACATGTCACCCGTTGGCGATTTTTGATGTTGTTGATTCCAGTGTATGAATTGTTTGACACGACTTCCGTGATAATGGTATAAATAAATGGCAAATAGCAAACATAGAACAACAAGAAGAGCTGAAAGAATAATGACAATTGCTCCCAAATATCGTGATGAACTGTCGTAGATTGGCTCCTCGAACGTTTCGACTTCGGTTGGTGGCGTACTTCTGGTGGCATCTGTAATTTTGCCATGTTTCGTTGGTTTTGTTCCAGGGCGAATCGGTCGCAATGGAGGTGCTGCTGCATGTTCACCTGAAGGAATGAAAATATTGAATAAACCAATTCGATAAAACAGAAAAACATTTAACAAACCTATTGAGACATCACTACATGCACGAAATTCTTCTTGAGGTCCGCAGCCCACAGCACCAGTGCCATCCTCACACATGCCCCAATTATTTCCAGCAATATATCGCCATTGAAGAACACAATTTCCGCATTCAAGGCCTGGAATAAAAAATATTCCACTTGTTAAATTTCGTATTAATTTTGAAAATGTAAATTCCTTTCCAACCTGGTGGAAGACGAGCTTTGATGTCATAGATTCGGCTGCCATTTCTTGGATAGAAGCGAGTTTTCAAGTCGTTCGGTTGTGGTTGACTTGGTGTTCCACCCAGCAATTCCAAAACATGCTTATCCAAACATGATTGCTTCGCTGCCAATTCAGGACAAATTCGAAATTCGAAATAGCTTTGAATAGAAGTACAAAGTTTGATTTTCATTGGACACGAGTTTGAGTATCTCAGAGAAATTCATGAATCATGATCATTTCAAACAATGTCTTTTCAAAAAATATTACCCCATATGACTGGCTGTAAGTTCCACACGAATTGTAATATCCGCGCCTGGATTATATTTTCTCACAATAACACCTTGCCCAAATTTCCCGCCATGTTCATTTGGTCTAGGTTGTGGCATATCTGAAAATAATTTTTCTCAAATCTATTTTTTTTTACAAAACTCAATTCCTTTTTTATTACCCCAAGCATCACCACACTCTCCACACTTGCCACCATTGCGTTGCTAGAAATTTATTAAATAAAAAATTACGTTGCTTTGAATAGAAGTATAAAGTTCGATTTTCATTGGACACGAGTTTTAGTATTTTCAGAGAAATTCTTGATCATTTCAAACAATGTCTTTTCTAATATTATTACCTGTCGAGCAAAACCACCGCAATACAATTCGTGATCATTATAGTTTGGGGGTGTTTGAAAGCCATATCGAAAAGCTGTAATTTAATAATTTAAAAATTTAAAGCTGTATTAAATGAAATGGCAATTCATGCAACAATTTCGAAAGTGTAGAATCCTTCTCAACCTGATGATCGGCTAGGGGGTTCGATGAGGCGGCCGTGACCATTACACATATCAATCGCGTGCACCAAAATGCATATCATGAATATAAATTGCCAATTACGTGCAGATTTTATGCACAAATTGGCTGATAGTCGAAACCCTTTGCTGAACATTTTTCACTCCGCTAGTTTGTGTGGATGTTCGTGTTTGTATTCGATCTGCGAAAAGAAAAAAAATCGGTGAGAATTGGCACAAACTTTGAATTGAACAATAGACGAATACATTGAATACAGAGTTAATATGAGCAAATATCATACAAAGTAATAGCTTACGGAAATACGGCGAAAACTATTTTCATTCGATTGACTTTTTTTAGTTTCTTTACATCTTACTACCTGTATATGAATCAAAATGGTTCTAAACATGCCAAAACTTTATAAAACTAGTATTTTTTATTTACATATGTATAAAGTATTTTTTTCAGACATAATATTTGGTTGTGACCGAGATTATGTTGTCTTCAAATATGTGTTAATTAACACAAAATAGAAACGATTGCTAGAAGCTTCAACTATACATGACAAAATTATGGGATTGAATAAACAAATACTGAAATGGATAAAATCATATCTAAGTGAGCGTCAACAAAT